TTCTCCTCCCACCCCCCTACCTATAAATAAGTTAACGCGTAAACAAGTAAATAAAGAACTACGTCTTTAGTAGAATATTTAAGGTTTGACGGCCACTATTAGTATTAGGAAAAGTGCGCGTTAGGGAAGGTTTTGTACCCCGGGCCGTCCCGCCGTATGTCAGGTATTTCCTGACGCAGTTCCCAGAGGGCGGGGGGTTCGAAATGTTTGTTGATGGGAGTCCTTAAAATGGTTTTCAATGATTCTAGTAAGTATGCTTAACAGTGAATGGTGAGGAAGCCTTACTGTACCCGCCATTTCTTGGCAATGGACCCTTGAGCCTTGTTTACTCGTAGGCGAGTACCATATTAGTCCTGCCACAAACTACTGTTACGACCGCAACAACACTCGATATCGCAGAGAGCACACAACTCCATCGCATCCAAGATGGCTGGGGCAAATGTACCTACCGCGTTCAAGAAAGATCAGGCAGATAGACTTTCACGAACTCCTAAGGTTGAATCGGCAGTATCATTTGAATTCTTCATCAATGGTGATAATCTTGTCGGTTTGGATGGTAATGCCGACGATCTTACTGAGCCACTTCATCCTGATGTGGAAGAGACACTTTTGAGTATCTCTATGGTAAAGTCCTGCTTGCTATCTCAGCTCTAAATTTGCTAACACTCTAGAAATTAGTGATGGTCCACATTTGGGCAATACAAGAGAATGTTGCAGCTAGCTGCGCGTGCCGTCAGGGTGAATTACCAGAGGAAGAGTGACGAGGAGAATTTCCGATACAAAGAGGAAGACTCAGACGACCCAATGATGGATGAATGTAGGTTGTCTTTTCTAAATCTGTAGTTTGATATGGCCTAACGACTGTTGTAGATATGGAGGATACCCTCGACAGAAGTAACCAAACAAAACCAAGAACAATCATGCACGATCTTGCCGACCCTGCCGATGATGAAGGTATTGAGAATGTGCTTGGACTTTTCGAAGAACGGGAAGCCAAAGTAGAGAAAATCAAGCGCTTGAAAATGCCAGCCTTACATCAGCTCCGAAAAAAAGAGGGCTTGGTTTTTATTAAAGGCGAAAAGAAGGTGGACCTTGTGACACGACTACAAGACAATGAAAACAGAAAGGGATTGCTGGATAAGGGCATGGGAGAAGAAGGTCGAGCCGCCAAGAGAGTCAAGAGTTCCGGCAAATTTGGTGACGAGGAGAATCGACCTGCTTATAAGGATATGGGTTTGCAAAACCTTTGCCTCCTTCCTGAAAAGGGGCTTTCTTCATTGATTTGCAATTCACTGAAAAGGGAGGCCTCGCAATTGCACCTCTGTTACCTGTAGGAGAAGCAAAAGTAGTAATATTCACAAGAACACCTCTCAACTCTCGGATCTTAAGTCCAATGTGACGTCGATTGTATAGCTTAAACCACAAATGAATGGTGAATGCGAAGTCATAAAAACAGTGGCTGCCACGCGGCTGGCATGAGGCTGGCAACCGTTGCCATCCCAACCTCGCTTAAAAAATACCACTTCAATTAATTTCAACCGTCGACTTCTCCACGATCATCTCAATCCCACTTTCAGTTCCACCTTACCTACACCACAACAAAAAGCGACACAAAATCCCTCGCAATGTCCGCCAAACCAACGTTGAGGGTTTTATACCTTGGCGAAGCGCCGTTCCCAGAACGCCTCGCCCAAGTGGAATCTATTTTGAAGGACTGCATTGAGAGCGAAATCGCAGTCCAAAACACCGACAACATCGAATCCCTTCTGAAAAGTCTCAATTACATCATCCAAAGCGCAGAAGCCGGCGATTCCACAAAATCTAGTGAAGGAGAGGAGGTCGTTGAACATAGTGTGGCAGAGGGCCAAGTCACTGAATCCACCTCTGGCCCAAAGAAGCATCGCACCCCCGGCTCGCAAATGAAGGACGAACCTGCCTGTGACTGGAGACGAGAAGATTGGTGATACGAAAGTGTCTAATCTGCAGTCAATCCCCAGCAAGATATTGGCCCAGCAGAGAGCCCATGGAGTGCATTCCTTCAAGGACTTGGTGGTGCTCCTAAATCGAGAACTCAGACCATTGGTTGAAAGACCACTAGCTTCCCTAGCAGATCGCATGCTTGATGTGGCAAACGCGCTTTCTGGTCAGGAGGTTATGCGAAGAGACCCTCTTACTAGGGTATTTATAGCCAAGTCTGTCGGACTTGAAAAGGCTGCAAGTAAAAAGACCCATTTGCTTGACGTCCTACTTAGTATTAAACATAGATGGTTGTTTTGTCCTTTGTTGCAAAAGCTGTAGGAGCCAGCGGGGTCGATAACTTGACGAAACTTGTAAAGGAAGGCAGAGAGACGAGAATCGGGAATATGTTCAAGGCGGATAAGGAGGCACATTCTAGAGAAGAAATACTGAAGCTACCTCTCGTAGCTCGAGAATTCGCTTACTCCTATATCAAGGAAATCCGACCAGAGAATAAAATGGGATGGAAGTTTGTTGAGAAGTGTACCAACAAGGCACAACTGATTCGGCAGTGGGAGGCACTCGCAAAAACCCCAGAAAATAACTGGGTTTTCTTAGAATGGCGAAAGGACAAAGGCGGTAGATTGCCAAAGTATGTCAACATTGTTGCTGTTATTAAGCAAGCCATTATTCTAAGCCAACACCCCCATCTTGCTGTCAACTCGGTGGAGTATAAGCAACATCAGCGTACCATGTCTAAGGTTATAAACGAAGCACGGCCGTACTTCGACCTCGAAGAGGCCTTAGGTCGAGGTGTGTGGTTGTTTACACCACCCTTCAAGCAGGCAACGTAAGTCCAAGTAACAATATGACAAGGGCTATTACTAACTCTTATACAGTATTAGCTCGCGGGGTCAGGGAATCATCAATCAATTGGCAGAACTCGTACGTCGCCTTCTGCCTGATGTGGTGGAATACTTCGATTACGCAGACAGAAATGTCTATATACAACGTAATGATATACAACGTTTGGATATGGATTTATCGGGCCCGGACCTGAGAGAACTTCCTAGAATGTATCTCTGGGAGCCGGAAGCCGTTATGAAGGCAACCATGGGTACTGAGCCCAATGTATCACCTGGGACACCACGGTTTAAGCGACGAAAGATACAAGCATCATAAAAACCAGAAACCCCATCACCAGCCCTATTGACTCCGATACTAACTCCACTAGCTAGGGCTGTGGTAGAGCAAAGCAAGACTGAGGAGGCCAAGACCGAGAAGGACAAGATCATCGCCAAAATTGCGAAGATTTCACCAAGGTATGCCAATAAAGGTACAGAGTGGCTAGAGAGGGCCGCAAGAGCCTTCAATCGCGTGGAAGACGTGTCAGACAGAGTCTACTGAGTGGTTGCAAAACCTATAATCTCAAATCTTTGTCAGCCGAGCCAGAATTTGATATAGCCATACTGGGTTGTAAAACCGAGTCAATAGCGCAGACAACTTGATAGCGTAAAAAATGGAACTACCTTAATGGCGATTATATTATATTTGCTTTTTGGACAAGCTAGAAAAGTTGATCCACAAGTAACAAACTCCCTACCACAACCCTTGAGAACCCCCTTTCTCACTAGATATACCATACACCAACAACCCAAAAATCTACCCAAGCTCCTCCTCCTCCCCTAACACACCATGGGAAAACCCCCAAAACACAAAAAGAAATAACGAACGTAATAAAACAACCCATCCCTAACAAATACCCCCCTAGTGATGAGAAAGAAGCCAATCTTAGTCTGAATCTCCTGAATGCCAATGATTGAGGGAAGGGACTTCAAGCAACAAAGCAGACGAGTACAGCGCTCGGCAACTGGAATTCCATTCCATTCCATACCACCCCTCTAGAATATTCTATTCTATTTATAAGAAGGTCTAGAATATTCCACTCTATAACCCTATATTCCACTAGAATTCCATAAAACCGAATTACATAACCCGGAGAAAAGTCTATCCGCTCCATAGACTAATAAGAAGCCTAGATTCTAGTAAACAGTATTAGTAACAAGAAGGTTAGGTGAATTATATATCTTTAATATTAGGGTATACCTAGGTTTTAAAGTAATAAAGTAATAGAGCAACTACATAGCGACAAAGAGATCAACATACTCGATATTTACTTAAGTATAGCGGATTAAGGTTATTTTAGTACTAATCTCTAATTAATTAGAATAGCCTCTGAAATTCTATTTTCTATAGAATTCTAGAGCCTTTTTAATAGAATATTCCATTCCAATTACAAGGTGCCTTAGAAGGAATGTTCCATTTGCCGAGCGCTGGACGAGTACTGCCACAGATTGAGGACTAGAGTACTTATAAATCCGCTAAGCTATCCACACTGGTATCTTACCAGGTAGAATATAGTAATACAGAGATAGAAGATGGTGCAACAAAACAGAACAAGACAAAACAAACTCTTCATCAAAACAAAGATTCCCCATCCCCACAACTCACACACAACAATCTCCCTCAACCAACTATTAAAAAAAAAACAGAAACCTAGTTTGAAAATTTCTAACAAACCAATAACACATCTCATCCACACTGCACCCACACACCAAAAGTCGACACACCGCCGACCGAGTTACCAACAATCTAACATCCACAATGTAACAACACCACTAGCAGTAGCATACACACCTACCTGTACAAACATCCACCCAACAATTCAACCCCCCTACACTACCCTACCCCTACCCCCTGAATCCACGATCCTACTCTGTTCTCCTCACCAATCCCCCCAAACGACCGCACCACCACCACGACGGACATCCACACCAAAATTTCGAACCTCAAATCTCCAGCGCGCTTCAACATCATGCTTACCGCAATCTCACTCACTTTTGAAGAAAAAGAACCCTTGAGATCACTGATGCGATCTCACTACAGAATCTTGTCTTCAAACCCCTATTCTATTATTATACTACTGTAAACTGACTCTCAAGATCCAAGTCTAAGCTACTGTATCCAGGAATCTTCACGACCTCTAAGTTCCTGAATCTAAATGAAAAATCATGTCAATCTTCCACCCAAATCCTTTCCAAGATCCCACACGCCCCCATATCCTACCCGCGATATCGTCCTCAAATCAATCCCACCCATCAGTCATTCTTCAGCTCCCGTAAGCCCCGCGAACCCAACCGCAACCAACATCACCACCCCATAAAAATGCTGACCAATTCTCCGTCTCCCAAAGGAGCATTTCTGCACCAGTCACACAAAAAGAAAGAAAGAAAAGGATTTCATGCAAAACATCTCCTTCCGTCTCCACGCCGCACCACAAAAATTCCATCGGCTGATCATCCACATAATCAATCTCGCTACCACCCTCACGGAACCATCTCTCATTCATCAAAACCCACCACACCTTCCTTCACGATATCCATTCTCTCTCACACATTCCGTCTCTTCACCGCCATCTCCATAACTGCACGGAATCCTGATTTTGACATTAGATACATTGCAACTTGCATGTGGGAGAGAGGCAACCCCCACGGGCTGCTGCCACCTCACCCTCACTCATTTTCCTTGCTCAGCGTTCCTTCATGGGTATCCAATGTCAGTCTCTACGGTGGAGAGAGAAGAACATGAACACCCAATGAGTGACACGTCACATATTAACCCCGCTTAAATACTCGCACTCTTTCGGTAGTCACACCATCAAAAATAGTTCAGTGCCAAACCATCGGGTCGCCTCGCTGTAACTCATTGTGTCACTACGTTACCATTCGCAGGTCGTAGGTTGTCCAGTATCATTCTTCAACCGGAATCGTGCTTTGTACTTTGCTGCGCCTCGCTGTTGCCTCCAGCCTGAGATTCTGAGTCGACCTGGGGCCAAATATCTTTGTCGTGTAACTCAAACGCCCAGATACCGTGACCGAAAAACCAACCCTCGAATCCTTATTGATTCAACGGTCCGTTCCATCCGCGGCTGCGGCATTTGCGATGCCGGACGAATAAAACAGGCGCCGCGCCGTCATCCCAGCGACCTTCCCATTTTGTGTTACAACCAAACGGGGCCACCTAACCTGTCTTCCGGTACGCCCCCAACAATATCATACCAGGAACCATATCGGCGCTTAGAGTGTCATATGCGCATGCGCGGTCCCCCGCAACACTTCTTATTACCCGGACGGGCAGAAAATTGGCTTGGCCGACCTCGCATGCCGCCAATGAGAGAGATCAGGGACTAATCCAGTTCCCTGTAAATGCACTTGACGACGTGCTGAAGATGAAAGTGATATCTGAGATCCATGTCGTGCAGGCTGAGCCGGGTTGTTGACAACTTCGTAGAAAGGGAATTCTATTAAGGCTTTGCGGGACGGCGAGCAGTCCATATATGCCTACTTATAATTAGTCTCGGTCAAATATAATAACCCAATAATAGAATATAGATTTCCTAGTAAATGGGGGCATTGTTGTTCAAAATTGACGATGGACCGGGACTTACATTTCAAAGTAAACGTGGATCCTCCTCGAGCAGATATCCACTCTCGCATCTTGAGTAAGTCTCTCCACATCAGCTCTGGTCCAGCTGCGGACGCGGATCATGGGAGCTAGCGTAAGCGGTTCCAGGCTTTCGGTAAGGCATAAATTAAACCATCTTCCAATTTCTCTTTGCTGCATGTCCTGGGTATCCCAAGGGCTCAAAGGTACTCGTTTAATTTCGTGTTTGATGTCTTCAAAACCCTGCTGTTGTAACTGTGGACCAGTGTTTACATTATACGCCAATGGTTTGGAATACTCTTCCGTAGCTTGTAGAAGACTTCTGGTCCATACTATCAAGGGAGAGTCGTGGGGAAGAGTTCCATCATCGCATCGTGGTTGCATGTCCAATTCAACAAGTTCAATATGTCCGATCCCTGGTTTCAGTAGCCTGTGTATTATAGTTAGCGAAACCGGCTAGATGATATGTTATGTATATATCTTACTGATAAGCTTTGTTATACACTTCCGGCCAATTCGCAACGCTGCCATTCAGCATTCGCATATGTATTAAATCCCAGTCCTCAAGTCCCAAACCGGTCCATGGTGACTCGAAGTCCATTTGTCTGAATGACAACCCTGGAGGAATACTGCGTTTTAAGTGTTAGTTCATCTCGGATTGAAGAATCCAGCAAGACTTACGATTGTGGTTGACATGGCACCAAGTCACATCCGATTGCATACAGCTTTTCTGGGGGAACTCCGAAGGCTAGCAATTGGCTATATAAACATTAGAAGTTTGTTCTTTTACGAGACTTGCTGTGACTCTCGGGGAAGGCAAGAGACCTACTCAATTATATCTATAGCCTATTATGACATGTTAGAATAAGTTTTCAATGGTCAAGAGTCAAAACGAACCCAAATTCCAGTTCCGGTTCCCACATCTAAAATTCTGATCAAATTCCCTGGCTGCTCTAGGTTCAGAGGCGCTGATCTATGCTTTCCTCTGGTAACTTCGAAGAATTTGTGAAACATGTCGAGCCGATCGAGTTCTTTCTGCAGACATATCGTTAGCTCTACTTTTCTTCGCTACAGGTGCCTTGAAAAGTAACTGCACTGTGGAAGCGGACTTACTTCGTCACAAGGGAACATATATTTGCCCCTGTGGAACCCATGATACTCTCTCCCATTCTCAATGTAGTTGCCAGGTCGAAGGCCGGTATAGGAATTACTGAAGATATACCAAGTTAGCTGGGAGATCCCGAAAAGCTTGAGTATCAATGGTAATGATGAAAACGTCAAGATAATGTCACAAAAGCTTCTGCAACATATACTGGATTATGTCGCGCTGCTTTTAACAGTACGTACCCGTTCTCGTCCATGACCACCATTGGCACGTCGATATTCTGTTCCTCAGGACGGTTATTGGAAGAGTGACTTGGACCACTCCTAGGAGGTGGATAATGTGGACTTCCAGTCAATGGCAGGCTTCCGTGCCTCTGCGCTACCTGTGTATATTCGTAGACGGTATTTTGCGTGGGTTTAGAGAAGCTCATTGATGGAGCGCGGGCTGCCAGACAAAGCCCCGAGGTCGATGTAGAGAAAGAAGGGAAAAAATTGAAATGAACAGCTCAAAAGCCACGCACGCTAGTGGTTCCAATTATGTGAATGTGACCGTAACTTGCTGCAGGGAAAAAGAAACTGTGTGGCGTGGGGAAAGTGACTGGGTGTGCTGAGTTGAACTACACCAAAAGTGGCCAGGTTTGGACCACTGCGGTGGTGTTGCCGTGTGCAGATAGATTGGATGGCGCTTGATGACTATGACCGGGAGTTGGAAATTTGGGTGTGCTGGAATTTGTAAGGGATGGCCGATGATTGGGCTGACCAGATTCAACGTACAGGAAACGAGAATGGTAGGAGGTATTGTACACCACACCAATGGCTATGGATGCCGGCGCAAGACGTGTATCCAGGTGCAGCTCTTGCAAATATCCTGGCTCCGAACAATGACGAGGTATGATTTGATTCTATTCTTTCTCCTGTGTTCAAGACTGAAGTAGAAGTGAAAAATGTGATGGATGCACCTGCGGGTAGTAGAGGATCCCAAGCAACTGAAGTGGGGGGCTTGTTGGGAGTTGATGGCCACAGATTGGACAGCTCCTGAGAGCAAGTTGGGTCGGTTGAAGACGTTGCAGATGTGGTTGGAATTCGTTGGCGCGGTAGTAATGAGAGCTGTTGGCGTTGGCAACTATTCCAAGGAGGGGGAGGTTTTTTTTCTTTCGCAGCGTACTGTACTACTTCGCTTGCTTTGGGAATTGTGCAGGTGGTTGCTGTGCTGTGGGAAGCTCCTATCCACGCCCGAGCAAACCAATTGGCAGAAGGAGAATGGAAATGTAGTCCAAAGGAGGCCAACACCGTGGTGCTGGAAATCAACGAGTGACGATGTGAATGACGCCCACTGGACCCGAAGTACTGGAGGAGATGCGTGGATATGCGTGCTGGAAAACAGCGGTCGAAAAGCTGAAGCTGCAGGTGCAAGCGCAAGTGTAGATTAGATTACAGTACTTCTCAATTGGAGCGAGCTCGGTTACAAAGTTTTGGGTCGCCAAAGCAAATGCGGCGCGGGGGATGTGGATTCTCTTTAAATCAGGAGCTACCAAGGTTCAGGGGAGTAAACTTTTGGGTGGGGGAAAGCTTTTCGGTGTTTCCCAGGTTGGCGATGGGATGGGATGAGATGATAGGCGCTTCAAGGTTTAGGGTTTAGCTTACAGCGGTAGCGTGGCTTAAGTTTGCCCCAAGGTTCGTCAGGTCTTTCCTTTAGCGTTCCGCGGGGGTTAAAAGAGAGCAGGTGGATTAGGAGACTATGCCACTACTAGGCTACGTAGTAGACTTTACCCTCTAGGTATAGTACACTGTGCGTGCACTCAGCGATTTGTACTGATCCAACTCTAGATATCGGACACCCAGTACACACAATGGGACAGTGTCTCAGTGGCCAATGGCTGTGTGGGTGGTACGTACTGACTGTACGGAGTATGTTATTGTATCTGTATGTGAATGTACGATCCCTCAGTGTGACAGGATGACACAGAATGGACTTCTGTTCCGGGGAGCTGGGTGCGGTGCTGCCAACTGTCTTGGGCCACCACGTCTTAGGGCGATGGGAGATGCGTACGAGCTGAAACTGACCGAAGACTCTGTAAGTGTTGTTTCTGCAGACAAGGATGTTCTGCAGTGATGTGTTGTGCAGAAGGGGGGTGGAGCTTGAAATGATACAAGCGTTGCTGTTGCCAGAGGATCTTTGGCTCGATATCGATGGAACACTCAGTTGTTGCCCCAATATGCGCGCATAATAGATGGGATGGAGTAGCGCCGGCAATCCCAAATTGCGGTTGGTGTCAGGGCTCCTGTTGGATCTTCCTTTTCTCCAAACGGGAAGGAGGATTCCGGGAAGCCAGCCAGGCGGGGTTCAGACGGGATGAGTGCAGGGTTGACGAGAGTTTTCTTGGTAGTTGTAGGCACCCAATTCTGTACAAAGTATATGAGAATCTGTAAGCGAGAGCGAGGGCTCGTCTAACTGAATTGTCGCGTGGGAATGGGAACGTTTTTCAAAAGGTGTGAACTTCAGACCAGGAAGCCTCGAAGCGCAAGTTCGGGGGAGAGATCCGTACGCTGTACGAGTACTCTGTAGATTGTAGAGGCGCTGCTGTGGTCAAGCGTTCGCTACCCACGTAATCCGCTACTTGGGGCGTCTAGAGGTCTAACCACAGTGCGTGAACGGCTAGCGAGGAGAACGGGTAGGGCTTCCCGCGGCGGGATTTTCCTCCCGAATAAATTTCTGGGAATTGGGATATTGCCACTCTAAACGGGGAACTCCCTTCACAGTAAAGCCTGCGAGCAAAAAATGTCCGGTAAGACTTCGAACCAGGTACGCAGGACTCGTAGACGGGAAAGGCCGCTCTACTGGGATCAGGGGCTTCTGATCGGAGATACTGGTCTGATTTGGTCTTGAAGCGCCGAGTGGTTGAGCCTGAGAAATGGTTTCAGCGCGCTTCGACTGGAAAAGTGGACTGAGTGGGCATGAAAAGCGGCAGTTCATATGAAGCGAGAATTGTTCTGCCGTTCTTCTGCAGTTTCAATTATCTACTCCGTACACAATCATCCAAACACTTCAAGACAATTCAAGCATATGACCCAGAGTATGGAGTACTTGGGCCAATTGCTTGAATTGCGCTAGAAGGTAAGAACAAGAGATGTCATCTACTGCTGCTTTCTTTGTCCATCGGCAGTGGGGTAACTCCAAACACAAATGAACAACTAACCTGCCTATTCAACCGATCCAACCACAAGTGCTACAGCAACACCTTGAAAAGCAGGCCAGATACTGTGGCAGCTCAGAGCACGGGAAAGCCACGAGGTATATTGGCCGCTCGGGACTTGACGATGCTCATAGCCGGAAGATCGGGTGAGGGTGTTTGAGTTTGAGGCAGGTCCACCACAGGGGAGGCAAAAGATTTGGAATACAGAGGCTTGACCTTGGGAAAACAAATTGCCAAAAAGCATAAAGTCTTAAAGGCTATGAGAACTGCGACTGCCGAGAAGAACCCCAAATAAGGAAGGAGGAAAGAGGAAAGAAAAAGGATGCAAAGCTGATTTCCACTCTCTCTCAACAGCAGACGGGCGCGCCTTTTATTCTCCTAGACATCCAGTTCTCTGGGTACATGTTCATATACAAGATACAACATACAGGAACTAGTGTCAGTTAGTTCCTCTCTCTTGGGTCGACTTGGACGTCCAGGTTCGTCGGGGACCATGGCGGAACCACTGTTTCTGACGGTTGGCTTGTGAGTGGGCGTAATGGCGTTCGTTCCGCTGCCTTGCCTTGCACTGAGCGAATGAAAGCATCAATTGGGCAGGAGGAGAGAAGATCACTTTGCACATTATATTCCAACTACGGATCAATGCACTCTCTCCAGGAGAATAGCCCGAGAAGTGCTGTCCAAAGCCTTCATTTCACCAAAATGGCATGAAGAGCCGAACGACAGCGATATACAAAGAGAGTGACTGTCACGCCACCGAGTAACGAGAAAGTGGAAGAGTTTTCGCTCCTCCGAAGCCTCTCATTTCTTCTTCCTGTCGACGCCCAATGCACACCAACTCAGAGGTGCCGAACCTGCAACTGCCAACTACAAGAAATTGCAGCTTGGTGGCCTTCCTGTTGAAGCGAGCCCTGGTACATACACGCATGCCGAACCGAAGGCGACCCAGCTTCTCGGTAACCACCAAAGCACATCCACGAACCAGAACTCATGAAACCCTGCAGCGCCGGAATATGGCACGCATGTTATACCAGCCAGTATCACAGGGATCCCGAGAAAGCGGAGTCCACGCTGGACATGCCGCTTCGTCTGGGATACTTGGGAAACCCCGGTGGGAAACACAAATACAACGGATATTTAAACCGCAGCCCAACCCAACTCGCCGTCTTACTCCGCTTGCTGCAGGATCTGCGTCTCTCCAACCCAACATGTCCCCTGAACTTCCTATCAGAACGAACTTTCTCATTGAAAACGGTTAGTCTACGCCGGAGCTCTGTATGATGGTTTGTGGCAATCTCGACCGCATGGGGATCTCTCAAGGCGGATTTCAACTCGTATTCCACGAAGGAGGCTGATATGGCTCCTGATGTTGGAATGGTGTAAGGAACTTGGCTGATTGGGATTCCGGGCATTCAATCTGGAGAACAAGCCACTCATTGCCGATGTGTTGACGCCCAATCAGTGTGATGTGCATTCACTTTCCAAAATGCAGCCGCACAATGTACTCAGTACCACTACAAAAGTATCTTTGCAACCACACCAACCAATTTACTGGGTCAGAGTACGAGGATGTACGAAGATGGCGCGTACCAAGAGACCCTGCGAAAGTGATGAGGGTGGCTTCCATTTGTCCCACGTACCCAACCATTGATCCAGTTTTATTGAAAAATGAACACATCAGATGATTGATAAGAGCTCTGGGCTGGTCGGTATCAAGGCCAATGTGAGGGTTGCCAGCTGAATAGGAGTGTTGCATTCTGGAAAGGAATATATTCCAAACAGCCAGCAACACCACATTTCAATATGGAAGGCAAAAAAGAGAAAAGCCATTAACGCTACTGGCTCTTCATGAAGGAGGGTTGTACTGATAAAGTACCCTCTACTTTCTCAGTCTTCCAGAAACGGAATCTAGGACATTTAACCGGGAGCTGCAGGTCGTTAATCTCAAGTCTACACACCATCATCCTGCTCGTCTGTCACTGCCAAGTTTGGTTCACATCGCACAGATTTGACAGCACAACCCAGCTTTCGTCCCTCAACACTATCAACTCTCCATACTCGTAGCCCACTCCCGTCCAACTCTGGTCCCAATTTTCCCCCCATTTCACAACACAGACCCAAAGAACAGGAAATTCCAACGACATCACAAATTCCCCAACAAAGCCCATTGGTAATGATGCGGCGAACGCACCAACATCCCTACCTGCCCCTGCTGGTCCTCTCTGTCTCTGCGTTAATTACGAATCCCTCCCTCTGACTGGCTGGAAGTCAACTGCGGGGCGACCCGAGGATCCGGGTATAGGTCTGAGCGGAGAGGGGTACCCATGGTGCGAATGCTTGTTTCTTACTGGGCCGTTTGGGCTTTATGTGCTTTTTTTTCTCAGAGCCGAGCCGAAGGGTGAGGTATGCTCACCGCCGTGTGCTTAACACCATCCTTAAGTTTTTGATGTGAAAGAATGGATGGGTCAGAGAGGTACTCCACCTTTACGGCGGAGATGGAGATACCTGGTATTTGACCGCCAATCGCGGAATTCTGTACAAAACTTTATGCAGGTTGCGGGTCTGATGTGATGTTCGTACTCGTTTTGTTTCCCTCACGTACCTCGTTTGAATCAACGCGTGGGGCGCACCTACTGTACGTAAGGTGAGTTACTCGTACCTCCCATCAGATTACAGTAAACGGAAACCTATCCATTATCTATCTACCTTTCAAGGTACGGAATCCAAAACATAACAAGTGCACTTACCGTTCGAAATACTTCCTAATTATAAAGAGGAAATCAAAGAACTAATAGGAAATCAAGATTTAACGAGGAGAATAATGACTTCGGATTACTAGGAAGGTAGGAGTCTTACTAAGCATCATGCGGTAATGACTACTAGTCCCCCCAGGTTCCTCTATTATATATCCATGTATCCATGTGAAAGAAGGGGGCCGCGGTGTACAAAATATACGGGAGTTTTCTTTACCGGTGTACCATCTAATTCATTAATTTCATACTTATTCTCATAGCACTGTCAATGATTGAGTTTTGTAAATACGCCAGAAACCCCCCTTCCAACCCCCCCCCC